TATTTTATCCGATAAAAGATCCCAACAAGCCAAATCCGACAATAGATTATTATATCCCATTTTAAAGACCTATATATCCTCTTCTCATGTCATATTCGATCGAATCAAACATATTCATTCAAAAGGTCATAAATCTACAAAGTCGTATTTTCTGACCTAAATCGACAAGTCGCGACCTCTAATCGACAAGTCGCGACCTCTGAATGACCTTTAAAAAATCTGTAAAAATAGGCAATAATATTTCTCCAAACAACGAATAAAAAAGCATTTTCGATGGGCACCCTAATGCACAGTGCAGTAGTAGATACCCTTTATTTACGTCGCAAACTGCCAAAGGCAAGGCTGAAACCCTGTTTATATTTACATTACCAAATATGTATATCAGAAGCTTAAGCTCGTCGGCGATTTCAAGCATCCGTTGTTGGTTACCCCAGCAACCGAGGCAATCGGAGATCGTCGTGTCACACGTACTTGTTGTCGGCTCGCGTTGATGGAAAATCAAAAATTTTTGATTTTCCATCAACGCGACCGCTTGACAAGCGGTCTGTTTGATAGTGGCGCAAAGCGTTGACAAGCATTAGTGTGTTAGTTTGTTGTGATATGNAAGGCCCGTCCACATAGAACTTTGGCGTTGCGTTGGCGTTGGCGTCGCTTCAACAGCTGACTATGAATACATGAATTCAAATGCAGCCGTCCACATAGCCAAAATTCGACAACGCTCACGCCAACACAAAGCAAAAAGATGGCCAACTCTCATCTTTTCGCGTGCGTCGCTCGTCAGCTGTTGCAAATAAATAAAATTATGTGAAATATTTTCCTTTTTAATCAAGTGCGGGCAAGAAATATCGTTTTTAATGCAATTATTGATATGAAATATTAATTTATCTGTCGTTAGTATATTAATGTAGTGGCCCAAGCATTCGCTGCCAAGCGCTCATTGTAGCAAGCATACTTTTAACGTGCGTTCTGTCAAACCAACGCCAACGCCAAAGCTAACACGAAAGTTCTATGTGGACCGGCCTTGAGTGTCGCCGGGCAAGCTTCAAGCACCCGACATTCAACCCGACACTCACACATGTACTCGTTGCTGGGGTAACCAACAACGGATGCTTGAAATCGCCGACGAGCTTTATGGACACATTTGTAATAAACAGTTGATGTATTTTTTGAGCTTGTGTTTTTCTTTTTCCTATGCCTATTTATATTCCTATTTATAAATTCAAATCTCGTGTTGGCATTACTGCGCATTTAAAAAGGAATGAGATTGGACTTTGAACCCACCTCTCTTCTCTGTAACGAGTTTACATGAACATTGAAGAAATTGATAACGCAATAGCATAACAATAATTTTCAATTGCGTTCAATTTAAATTCATCAGAAGTTGTTTATTTGCATATTTCTATATTTAAATATAGCAAATCGAAAACAAAAAACAAAAAAAGTAAACAAAAAGTGAAAATACATATATTTCTCTCAACACATGACTTACTAACTAACTATAACGAAATCATCTGTAGAGAAAAACATATTTATTTGACGTAACTAAACTATTTGCTCAGTGTAGATGTGAAAGATTTAATGACAGCAACCTTCAACAAATATTCCTATCAAAAACTCATTAAAAAAATGTTCATGTACATAGGTCAGGTAATGTAAGTAGTAAATTTAACTTCCAGACTTTATTATTCATGAACACAGAAATGTTACTTGTATGTTCATACATATGTATGTATGTATGCATTTACTATGTATTTATATATACTATATTATGCTATGCTTCCCTAACGATGTATGTATGCATGTATGTATGACTACTGACGTCAATCCAAACGTCAGTCCAAAGGCTAGCTTCTTCCTATTGATGTTTGACCCCGTTAAAAAACATTTTTTAACAGCCATTACCGATTAGCCAGCATCTTATACAAGTAAACCGAAATTTTATTAACCAAAACGATATGCATATTATATTTTAAACAGCTGATAATGCTTCTAAGTATGTATACATATATGCACTTGTATTACATTCTTATGGTTTGACGTTTCTTATTGTACGAACATCAATATCATTTTCGAGCTTAGATTGAATTGCATACGTTTTAAGAGCATTGATACAGAGCTTAATAAGTCCACTTAAAGCTTCATTTTAGTGAATTATTTGCCGTCATCTAGCGTGTCTTCTTAGTTAGAAGGATATTTACGAAAAAAATCGATGACTCCATATTTGATCTATTATGTAGTTAAGTACTTCTCTCAATTCTAAGATGTCTGCTTATGCTTCAAGTTTCTTAATTGAGTATCGCCTTTTATTATTGGCCTTTAAATCATATTTCTACTGCCTTTCCAAAGGTGATACGCTACGATAGTCGCTCTCTCGTTCGTAATTCACACTCCAATTACTCTTTTAATTACAGATTTAACCGTACAAAATTTTGAGAGCGAATTACCTCATTTGTTGATTTCACGTTGCCATTGTCCTTATCGAGGAGCCGTAACTACACAACTGCCACCATAAAATTACTGGACTAAATTTTAGAATCAGTAGATGAAGTACTGTCGCAGGGATACTTTTTGTAAGCCCAAAGCTCTAATTACTACTGGACTTTTACAATTACAGTCTGTAGATGTTTACCAACCTTGCCTACGACGTACAATTGAGTAGCCAATCGACTCCTCCATTAAAGCAGCTAGTGCTACCTGAAAAAACACCAGGAATAAAGCCACACCTTAGCCTTACCTACAGGTCGACAGACGCTATGACGTAAACCGCCAGAGTGGAAGTGGAATTGAGTGCACTACTGTTTCCAACGAGAACGACCCTCTGTAGCCACTCCAGGTTCTGCGAAGGTTGATAAACTTCCGTTTGGAAGATGATTGGAAGGGTTCTCGGAGGTAGCGAAAGCTTCAGGCTGAGGCCATATACGCCAATTCCCAGAATTTTACTGCTATACATTTACACACCCTCAACGCTCTCGTAGCTTTGAAGGAGGCCGCCTCAACATTAGTCCTCCACTTCTGTGGCGACGCTGACCACGACCCCATACAAGGTTAAGGGCCGGTTGTTCAATGTCCGGTTAACAAATCGGTGGTAGAAGCTCCGGTTAAAGACAACTACTGCTTTATCGATCGCATGTTATATGCATGTAGTGCAGTGGTAGCGATAATCAGAAGGAAATATCCTTAGGACAGATATCCCATATTGTGCCTATAACCCCCCTGCAGCTGTAACCAGCCTTCTTTCTCCTAAAGGTTATTTCCTTATCTTACACTACCCACCGCTCGTAATCTGAAACTAGTAAATTTCGCAATACCTATTCTTTGAATTATTTATTAACTGCTCTTTTTTAGCTGAACAAGCTCAGTCAATAGTGAACTGCTGCGGAAGAGAATTACAGTAAAAGCAATTAAACGTATACTTAAATTAATTACATTGAGGAGTATACTATACATATATTTATGTACATTTGTAGGTATGTATGCATTTGTTTATATACAGATAAACCCACGAATGTGAATATACACAAATAAAATATATACTATATAGTGGATTTCGCTAAGCGGCGTACGTGCATTAAAGGACGTAAACATCGCCGATGATCACTTTTCAATAAGATACATATTATACTCATACCGGCCGAAAAGTATTGTTTTGGCTCAGCTGGTGTCAATAACAATATTTGTGCCGACACTCCATAAGATGTATGCACATACCCACATTTGTATATGGGGAGAAAAGTCCATCAAACACCACCACGCCGCCGGCAGTGACTCATTTGGTAGCGTACGTGAAACCAGTTGCGCTCCGAATAATATGTGCTGCACACAGTGTTGCCAGAGAAAATGCCCCAAAAATATTCATTTTGTTCCAAAAAAATCTTCAAAATAAGATTTTAAAGATAAAAAATCTTTTCGATCCCAAAAAAGTCTTAGTCTAAAAAAAACAGTCTTAACTCAATAAGAAACACACAATTCGATATTGGCTTAACGGCTGTAAACAGCCTTTATTATGTTAACTGGAAAAAATTAGCAATTTCAAATTATACAGCCAATTTCACGAAAGCAGTTTAAATGAAAAATGATTTTAATTTTTTGAATTTTATATGGAAATTTACAGAAAATCAAAAATCATTTTCAACTTAAATTGCTGGTGAAACCGGCTGATAAATTCTTTTTTATTTCAATTTAAAAGAAAACCCAATATTGCCTTTGTGGCATCAAACAATTTTTTTGCACAGTTTGCTTTCTATATCATATATGAGTTTACAAATAATAAACCAACGCATAAAACACGGAAATACATTGAAACAAAACTTGGGTTTAATCCTGTCATTGGTTCATGAAGAAATTAACGGTACCTCTAAATTTGTATATGTGGAGTGAGGTCAGTTGTTTTTTGCTTAAAAATTGCTTACTTTTTGTGTTTATTTAATGGTATCTCACGAAAACCATGTATGTCCAAACTTCAAAAGTTAAGAAAATTCGACAAAGACTCATAACATTTTTAAGCTTTTTAATTAGATTTACTTCTTGTTATAAATTTATCCATGTAGACTCATCACTAAATATATCTTAGATGGCAGTTTAATTGAAATTTTCCACGTTTAACGTATTCATTATAAAAAACCTTTTTCTTTTTCATTCATTTGCTGCCTACAATGATGTAGAAAGGATAAAATAAATAAGTTAAAAATTTTATCTTAAACTTAAAAAATCTTACATCATACACAAAACTCTTAATTTTAAAGATATTTACAGTATAAAATTTTGCATTTAAAAAATCCTTTTTTGAAAATTTGTTAATAAAAAACTGCCCAAAAAATCTTTATTTTGAAGAAAAATTCTGACTTATGGCAACGCTGGCTGCACAGTTGTTGGCGCTCAGCGCCAAGCAAAATCTCTTCGTAAAAAAATTTTGCGCGCTCAAACATTCGCTCCATCCATGCGATGGCATCAATGTTTCCATTCAAGGTTTTTGGGTTTGTGTATAAAAGCGCTTGCACGCCGCTGGTGAGGAACATTCATACAACAACCAGCAGCAAGTACACAATAAGCTTAAGAATAATAAAGCAAAAAAAAATCGAAAATTTAAAATAACTGAAAGTGAAAAGTGAAGAACTTTTTGAAAAAAAGCGAAGCGTTTTAACCAAAAAAGAAACCAATTGAAAAGTTATTGTAAATTGGACATTTGTGTTTATACATACACACATACATACATACATACAAGTAGAAAATCGTGAAACAATGAGCAGCATAGTGAAACAAAGTTGTCGTGTCTGCCAAACGGCGGGCAAGCAAATAAATTTCTTTCCCAATCCTTGGAAGACAGCTGCACCGGCCTTTTCCACATCCTGCACTTGCCAACAAACAAATGCCGCCTACAAACAGGAAAATCGTGCTGTGGAATTCTCAAGGCGCCTTCTCTCAAAAGTTTCGCTGCAAAATATAACTGGTCATCCACGACAGCAACAAGAACCATGGAAGCCATGGCCGAACAGCGTAAATCCACATACTGGCGAAATTGGCGGCCCAGCTGGTCCAGAACCCACACGCTACGGTGATTGGGAACGGAAGGGACGAGTTTCAGATTTCTAGTCAAAATTTGCTTAGAATTTTGCTTTTCTTTCACTACTAAGTAGAAATATCAATAGTACATAAGTATGTTTAAGCAATAATTAAAGAAAAAAATTAGCATAAGACATTTCGACTGAATAAGAATTGTAATTTATATTTTAATAAATTACTATACTATTTTAAGTACAAATGTACTTAAACTTAAATAATGAGTTTTACTTCGCTTTAACGGGAATCGATGGAACTAATTGGGGTGAATAGAAAACGGAAGTGATTTCTGCTGCTATATTGTAAGTGGTGAAAGAGGAACTTTTTCCGGTGGGCAAAAGAACTGCATTGCCAACGCATAAGTTGAAATGTAAAACAGTCGAGTGAAACCTCGATATAACGAACCTTCATAACATGAAAAACTCAAAATTAAGTAAATGTTTGTCCCCTGAAAAAACTACGCTATCGCGAAATATTTCATCTGAGATAAGGCGAAGAAATTTTGAGCATAAAATTCTTCCTAATATATTGACGGTTAAACGGCCATTATATAATGAAGTGACGACTCAAAAGCCTCTGCACAGCTAAGTCTGAATATATATATTATTCATAAAAAATAAAATAGATTTAAAGCGCTCTTTAAAGTGACATTTTCATACAATTTTTTGGTTTATAAAGTAGTTAAAGTCTTCTTTACTTTTAATGAAATATAACGAAACGGTTAATATAACGTAGCATTTGTCGAACCCTATCAGCTTCGTTCTATTGAGGTTTCATTGTAGTTCGAATTATTGTTGCTCGTTTTTAACAATATTTTTTTCTGAATTGAAATATTTTGTTACTTTTTATTTGAGGAGCTTTCCAGCCGGTTAAGTAAAAAACAAAAATTATTTTAATTTTATTCGTCTACGCGGTCGAAAAGTTTGTAAACAACCCAATAGGAAATTGAAAACTGTAAAAAGTTTTCGTTACCATCAGATTACGTACTACCTACGTCAAAGGTCGTACAATACTGGGCTCGTTGAAGGGGTCTGGCATTTCTACATATAGTATATATATGTATTTATGTACGCGGGTGTGACAATTTTATTGCGTTGCAAAAATCCAAACTTTTGATACGTAATTAACAGCCTGTTTTAGAAGTAACGTTTGCTGGAATGAATGCATGACTCAATAAATCAAAAATGCGAGAAAACGATTTTTCATTTATTTTTTTAGAAAACGTTAATATTAACTTAAAAAGTACAGTAAATATTGTATCATAGGAACATCTTTGAAAAAAAAACTCTGTTCAAAATCAATTTTAATCAAGTATCTACTTATTGTCATTTTTCGGGTAGCTACATAATTCCATCGATGAAGAACTGCTGCGGTTTATCAGCGTAAAATAAGTGATTTTCTAAGGCTCTTCGCCCGGCTAATTTTTTACCATCAAGAGAATTTTTCCGAGACCAAGTTTCGGGTAATAATAAAGATCCCGACATCCAGTTCTTTTTTGATTGTTTTATTTAATATTTAGAAAAAGAGTCTATATGGATCACCCTATATTTACGCTACTAAAATTTCTTCTCGAATTCTCGCCATTTTAGAAATTCAGATTTGTCAAAATCATCAAATTGTATCCATAAAGCCTGCTAATGTCAGTAGGCAATAAAAAAAACATTGGCGCATATTCATATTCATATTTAGAACTCAACTAAGTCGAAACTATTCTAAGTCACAACTAAAGCTATTCATAGTCGCCTTAGTTTCAACTTTTCTGGCTAAGTACCAACTTAAAATTTAGTTTCGACTGCAGCTGCAACTAAGTCGTAACTAGAAAGAAGTATTTTATCAAATTAAGGGAAAACAGACGAAATATGTAAAAAATTAGGTTGGTAGAGGGTGATTTTGATAATATTGAATAATCTCCCATTAAAATTTACAAAGATCGATCCATTTTAATCGGAAGATGAAATTAAATGCGTATTACAATTCGAATAAAGCTACATCACAATTTTATAATTGGAATAATTTAGATAAATTCTCAAATAATAAGTCAGTTTCACGCTAGTTCTTTTAAAGTAAATTTGTGCATAACATTTAGATATCTACTATTTGTATGTTTCACAGCATGCTTTCGATAAACATCGACTTCACATCACTGCGGTTGTTCTGGCTATTTCACACAATTAA